ATGTATGAGTAATTCTAAACTCATGAGCAATCTTTTATCCATGACTTGAACTCAGCTTCTTTACACACACCAACTACGCAGCCACATTACCTGCACCTGCAAGAAATAATGCGTCTAATTTGCAAGGCCTATCTTTTACAAAAGTTCTACCAAGCCATACTAAAATAGTCTCCTAGCCATATTGGTTTCCCTTGCTAGCATGCATTTTTGTTAAGTCCATGTGTTAACTGCCTCTTCAGTGATACACATCTTGCAATTCTAAACCCTGTGGATGGAGAGTTTGACCTTTCTTGATTACTCCAGTTACAGCAAAACTCCCTAGCCTTGAATTATCCTGATATTTACCATGTCCTTTCTCTTATATTTTCATTTGAGCCCCTATGTAACCATGTTATGATATCTGTTTATAGAAAACTTGCTTTTCTTATCCTAATAAAAGAGTGATATGCAAATTAACTGTCCCTCCAATACAAAAATGGTGGTCTCTCTGGCAACAGGAGCCCAGCACCTGCTCCTTGGCTGCAGAGGGAGGGGAGGGGCCTCTGGCCAGAGGACTAGGGGCAGTACACTGAGCCCTGGCAACTTGAGCTCAGCATCAGTGCCCTGGCTGCACGGAAGGAGGTAAAGAGCCTCTGGGGGCATGAGCTCAGTGTCTCTGTCCTGGCCACATGGAGGGACAGGAGGGCCCAGAAAAATGGATCTTTCCAGTTCCTGATGCTGACAGAGCCCTTTGGGTGCCGGGGTCCTCAGCCTGCAGCCTCCAGTCACAGATTGGAAGCCCCCTGCCCACAGTTCAGATGCAGTCAGTGTGGCACTGCAGCAGGGGGTGTCCGGAGTGCATGCTACAGACATCAAATCACTGCCACCTCAGCCACTCCCCCTCCCCACCCCTCTGCACTCCCAAGTAGTATGGTCCAAGGGGCAGACTCCTGAGGCATGGCTCCTACAGCAGCTGATGTCCACCAAGCCAGGTGGGGAAGCCGGACCTGAGAGCCCAAGCTCCCGAGTAAGTGAGCTGCCAGGCATTGTGGGCCGGAGCCCTGAGGGGGCCCCAGGACAAGCATCTTCCTAGAGGCTGAGTGGAAGGAGGAGGGGAGGAGCCTCTGCTAGAGGCCAGGGCCAGGGATGCTGGTTTTGTTGCAGGCCGGGCTGAGGGACTCTTTTCCCCGAAATCCCCCGTGCATGATTTTCATGGACTGGACCTCTAGTCCTATATAATAAAGAGCCAATATGCTAATTAGACTGAACAACAGAATAATCATCGGACAACATTCTTGATTACTGTCCAGGTAACCTTCGGAATGAATTCAGGGCTGAGAGGGCTGAGAGGGCTGGCCGGGGCTGTGAGAGCCAACCCTCTTGCATGAATTTTGTGCATTAGGCCTCTAGTTGAATATAAACTTCTGTACAGCATAGATTTGGTTTTACTTCTATTCTACTCCCAGTGCATATATTGATGCCTGGCACATAGTAATCACTTCATAAATATTTGTTTAATGAAAGAATGAATACATTCTAAATATCTCTCCGTAGTGGAACCAATTACTGGTAATTCATTCTAAGGGTATTAAACAATTTAACAGCAGTTGGTATGTCACATAAAAGGAGAAAACTGTATGATAGTTTTCAGATCTTTCCATATGAAGACGGTTTTAGTGCACATGAGAAGAGCACAGAGTTTGGGAACCAGTCTGGGCTCAGATCTTTAGACAGACATTTAGTTACTCTGTGGTGCTAAGCAGATCAGTTAATGTCTCTAGTTCTCTCCTTCATCTGTAAGTTACAGATATAGCTCTCTGAATTATCATGAAGTACAATGTTTGTGATTGTGTAGAATATGATAGGTGCTCATCAATGGTAAATTATGTTCTTTTTCATCTATGAATAAAATGCCACAAAACTATTTTTAATCTTGTTAGGACAATCAAAAGCCTACTTTCTCTATTATGGGTAGTTCTAAGATTAATAATAAAGTTATTAGATATAGGAGTTAATAGCAAAGCTGAAAAGTACATTAAGGCCAAAACCTGTTTGGCTCATTGGATAGAGCGTCGGTCTGCGGACTGAAAGGTCCCAGGTTCGATTCCGGTCAAGGGCATGTACATTGGTTGTGGGCTCATCCCCAGTAGGGGGTGTGCAAGAGGCAGCTGGTCGATGTTTCTCTCTCATTGATATTTCTAGCTCTCTATCCCTCTCCCTTACTCTCTATAAAAAAAAAAAAAATCAATAAAATATATATTTTTTAAAAAGAAAAGTATATTAAGTTCAACAACATTTTGACATCATAAGTATACAAAAATCACTGTCAAATACCTTTGACTGTTGAATGATAGGAGAAAGGGTTCTCATGAAAAACCCATGAGAACCTCAGCTGAATCAAGAGGATAAAACACTTTAATTTTATTCTAGTTGACCAAGCATCTTAACTAAGTCATAGATTTATATAATAGGAAACAGCTGTATTTCTAATTATTAATTCAATTTCTCTCTTTGTAATTGCATTTTTATTACTTGAGTAATAAACAGTATATCTTAATAGATCTATAATAGCTTGTCCACCACTTGAGATCAAGTAATTATTCTTACTGATTTTGTATAATCTAACAAATGTAAACAGTATTTTAAATGTGAGTGCTTAGAAAATATTGCTTAGGTTAATTTAAATACAATAATAGAAAATTGAATAAATTTGTAAATCAGATGTATTTATTTAATTTCTAAGTATTATTTAATAGGATATGAAAATAAAGTGAAATATAATACAGAAAATAAAATCCTTCAGGAAAATAAGGAAATTTAGAAGGCAATAGCCATTAGAATTCAGTTCTAATATTATACATTTAACTCAAACAATAGCAGACACCTAGAAATAATATACATTTTGTTAGACTGGGCAGAATACAAAAATGTGTTTAAAAGTTTGATGTATGTGAAGAAGTGTCCAATATGTCTACAGTGAGCACAGGTAAAGCAAAGGCAGAGGAAATTGTGCCCCAGAGCAGTGACCATTAAATAGTTTTACTCAGGTTCTTCCACAAAAAGATGTTTTAAAACCTTTGAATCCACTCAAACACGTAAAAATGATATCAGTTTTTTATTGGGGAGAGTGTTAATGGAGTAGAAAGGGGGTTGGCCCCTGTTATACATTCAGTAATAAAGACAAGATGTAAAAAAACTGATGTAAAAATTTTATAGTAAATATATAATTGCAACAGATGCAATTTCTGTTTTTTTAAACTGTTACAACACTTTTTAAAAATATATAAGAAAGCGACATAGCGAGGTGTAATGTAAGGTATATAAAAGGTATGCACTTGGAGGTTCACTGGGCACTCATTTCACCTGCGCTCACATCATGCTCCCACACAGCATGAAAGGCTCCTCCACTGACGTTTCCCCATCAGCCAAAGCACATCTATAATCTATCTTTGCTCAAACCCGCTCAGCCTATGGCAGGGTTTTAATCCATCATCCCTGACATCTGGGGCCAGGGTTCTTCCACTGCATCACACTTATGCTTCTGTTATCAGGAAGAACCTAATCCATGGAATTATAGTAAAAACTGTGGTAGAGTGAAGGGGGTTAGTTCAACCTTACAACCATGGACTTTGAGGAGGCCCCTATTCCTGAAGAGACTGATCCCAGGCTCTCCAGAGGAGAGAATTTATAAATATTTATAGGGTAAGTAGAATCCCTTGGCATTAAATATATCTAATGACAATTTAAAAAGGTCGGGGGATAAAAAAAAAAAAAAAACATCAAAATACCTGGACCCCAACAAAATAATTAAAACAGATGTTCACAAAATAACTCAACTGGAAGTTCAAAACTTGCCACAGTAATAAATTACACAGGAAAAGATAAAAGCGTTCTGATTGGCTTTTATAGCTCCACAATATAGGTTCTGAATTTACTTGAACATCTGCAGAAATACACCAATTGGCAAGGCTCATGGACTTAATACTAGGTCTCAAATTACAGTTATGCTTGGGTATCTCACTAAATTTAGGCATGATTCCTATTGTAGTCTTAGAAGAACTGCTGAATATAAAATAGAGGACAAACAGGTATGCTTCACGTAGCTATTGCACTATAACTATTGTGCTAAAACACCCCACCATGGACCTCCTTAATGAAGAGGCTCATGACCTCCTCAAAATCTACTCTTTAAGTTACAAAATAGTAAGAAATTGGATACCCCACTGAGTGTCACTACTGCCACAGGCATTACTTAATCTAAATTCATGCTCCCTGGGGACATGTGTTTCCTACCCCGTTGCCACACAGGTCCTTCAATTGCCTTGATTGTCCATAAAGGGGGATATCTCTAAGGTTCAAGGTTTGAACAACCAGCTCACCTTGTGCCATTCTGATCAAGAGTCTGCTTGGCTCCCTAAGGAGGATTCTTCCATTTCCTAAAATGTTAGTTATCTCTAAAGTAGATATTTCATGAAGAAGTATAAAGGGGTTGATTGCAATATAAGGCCTAATATTTTACAAAGATGTGTGCCTTGACATCTCTGAGCCTCCTAAGACCCTCTAACTGTGAGTTATTCTGTTCTTATTTGACATGGCCCCTACTAGTAGGAAAAACTCCCCCTCTGGCTAGTTTCCTAACCTGCCACAATCCAACTATCCTCAACCTAATAAATTTCATGTTTCTACCAATACAGGGAACCCTTCCCTCCCGATACTGCAAAGGCCAACTATCACAGCCCCCTCCAGAGTGCAAGACTGGACCTGTGTGGCCCGGCATGGTGTGCAATGTCCTCCTTTTCTGCATGATGATTTTATGTCACCAATAAACTACTATACATGTCACGTGCTCCATGTTGGTCATTTCATACTATTTAGAACAGAGAGAACCTGCTTCTGTTTACATACTCCCCACTCCAGCTCCTTCCCTCCCTCACCATCACCTTTGGTTGGTCATTTCACATTATTTAGGGCAGAAATTCTTCTCAGCAACTGGGTGAGAAAGAACTGATCAGAACACTAGATATCTATTATCATCCATTAAAAAGAAGAAAAAAAAGATAGTGAATGTGGTGTCAAAAAAGGTGTAAACTACACACTTTGCAGCACTTTCCTGCCCTTGAATTTGATGTCTTTGGTGGAAGAGCTGTGTAAGTAACAGTTTATAAAAAATAAAAAATAAAAAATATAACGAAAGACAAAAAAGACAAAATAATGCTTCTTTTAATAGCCAAAATTACATTCCTTTTTTTTTTTCTTTGATTTTTTTTAACCATACTAACCACTCATCTGAAAAGATAGTAAAACAATGTGAGGTTAATAAAATCTGTGCAAAAAGTTAGTTGCTTTTCTATAAAACAAATAAAATTCTACGCATATATTTAAACACATATACATAGATATCTTCCCATAAAAATTCTTTTTAATTTTCATTTTGCAAAAATTGCTATTGTTTTTATTTCTTTATAATGTACATGAACTTAAGCATAAAAAGTTCTTATAGAGGATAGTATTCTTTCTATATTTTATTCTAGAAATAGTATCATTTTATACATACTTAGTATAGGCAAATTTTTAGTGTAAGATATGATACAATTATTTTCTAAATGACTAACAATTTTTAAACACTATAATTTTAATAATCTTGGCAACATTCTAATATTAAAGTCTTTTTATTTATATCCATTGACTTGTTTATGCATTAGTTCCATAATACCTCAGTTTTCACAGCTTTATATATTTAAAATCTGATAAAGAAGCTAAGCAATATTGCTCTTATTTTACAAAATTCCCTCCCAAACTCCAGTTTTTGTTTTTATACTCTAAGTGATGTTATAATACTTTTCCTTATATTGGCATTTCTTACTCTGACTATATTTATTTTGATGTCTTGTCTTTGTTTTAGAATGTAATTTTTAAATAATATTTTTTCCTCATCATATGACTTATCTTCAAGATTAAACATGAACCATTTATGAGAAGAATGAATGATTAATCAATCAGTAAGACTAAGGCATGATTTTACTAAAGTATACATAGTAAAATAAGAGAGCATATCTCAATTTTAATTTAAAAAATATTGTAAAGAATAAGTATGACACTTCAAGTGAGAGGTCTAATGTAATACAAGTTAATGACCACAGAAGGTCAGAAGTTGGATGTTTTCATGTTCTCCTTAATTGTACATAAAGAGGTACAGAAATGAATGGATATAACAGCTGGTGACCTGATTTACCATGTTTTCTGAAGAGCTGGAATTCTCCAGCCAGATCATTAAAACACACACACACACACACACACACACACACACACAAAAAAAAAAAAAAAAAAAAACAACAAAAAAAACACAACAACAACAACAAAAAAAACACACCAACATTCTGTTCATTCCTCTGTCACATGTGTCCCAGTGACATATTTCCATTCAGTCTCCTCCATTGGAAAGCATTATTTCAAACTTGAGTATGCGTTCAAACCCTAGCATAACATCTACCATTGTAAAATCCAATAAAAATTAACAAACAAGGATGGAGATGTGTTGGTTTGATTATACAAAAATAATCATCAATGGTTTTACAATAAGATAAAAGTAATATATAGATGATAATTCTTTGATTTCTGGCTAAGTTACATTTCAGTGTATCAGTAAACTTCTCCCCTTCAAGTGATATTGCTATGCTGAACTCTCATCAAAACACATACTGCCAAAGCCGGTTTGGCTCCGTGGTAGAGAGTCGGTCTGCGGACTGAAAGGTCCCAGGTTCGATTCCTGTCAAGGGCTTGTTCATTGGTTGCGGGCACATCCCCAGTACGGGCTGTGCAAGAGGCAGCTGGTCGATGTTTCTCTCTCATCGACATTTCTAGCTCTCTATCTCTCTCCCTTCCTCTCTGTAAAAAATCAATAAAATATATTAAAAAACAACAACAACAACAAAAAAAAAAAAACACATACTGCTTAATACTTTGGATTCGATTTTATGAAACTGCCATTTTCTGGTTGAAAATACTCAAATAAAGACAGCTGCAGGTGTTTCCACTTAATGTTTCAGTTACTCCTGAGCATGTCCCCAATAGGAACTACAAATTGCTTTAATCAGATAGAAATAAATAGCAATTCAGGGTGAAAATATCCACATATTCTAAAGTTAACTTTTTGAAATACTTTTTAAAATGGAAATCTAGGACCTTCTAAGTTTGCATGATTATAAACTACTAGAGGCCCAGTGCATGAATTTGTGCTCATTGAAAGGGAATTAATTAGAAGGTGGCTGGTGGGGTGGGACTGGGTGAGATGGCCAGGCATGCCCTGGAGCCAACATCCCAGGGTTCCTCCCCAGCCAGCTGCACCTGGGCAGTGTCTGAGCTCAAAGGGCATCTGCAGAGTGAGCGGGGGATGGGGAGATCCCTCCGACAACTGGGGTCCCTCAGGCTGGCCCTAGGGGATTGGGCTGAAACTAGCAGTTGATCATCCCCTGAGGTGTCCCAGAGTGCAAGAGGGCACTCTGCAAAGTTGCTGCCACTCCTGCGTTGAATGTCTGACCCCTGGTGGTCAGTGCACATCATAACTACCAGCCAGCTTTTATATATATATATAAAAACATTTTTCCCGCTTTTCCAGGGAATACATAAATCTGATGTTCTGTTACTCTATGTCTTCAAGGTAAATTGTTTTTACTAATATCCTCATTAGGACAAAAAAAGGCACACATATATTGAAATATTTATTTATACTTTGCTATAATTTACCAGTGAAAGACATTTGAAATTTTTTTTTTCGTTGCTTGTTAAATTACACAATGAAAGCAATAGAACCAAATTGCCCCTCAGAAAGTAAAAAACACATTTGTGCCCATTGTCTTAATTTTCTGTTGTTAAATGATGCAAGACAGTTGACTACTAAGCAATGCTTTCAAGAGTCACATTTGAGACAATTTCTATTACATCTTTCCATTCCCAGTAATAACTGTGTTTTAGTTAATTTAGTTTGCTTATCGTTAACAAAACTATATCCTTTATTTAATTACTTTGGTTTTGTTCTCAGCTTCTCCCTCTTAAGTAATTGTGTAATCAGTGATCAGGTGTGCCAGGCTTCTAACATATTTTGCTATGTATAGGGTATTTGTACTGCCTCATTTGTTGGGCTTGTCTGAATGAGGATAATAGGGATGGTATTAGTAGAATACAGCTCTGGAAGAATGCCTTCAATTTATTTTAAGGACTACATCTCTTGCTATTATACACAAATCCTACCCCCCACCCCCATTGGAGGAAAGTTTACTCTACATTTCGAAGAATGGAATAGAATTCCTTGATATCTGAACAATACTGTTATAAAACAGTTAAGATAGAGGTATTTTGAGAGGCTTACATTTTCCACTGTGGCCAAGTAAATGTGTAATTGGAAGCCAGGAAAAGCTTTCCTTGTCTTGTAGATGGTGCTGCTGCAAACCAGTATGGTCATTATCAACAGAAGATAGGAGTACCTCCTGGAAGATGAAAAACTCACTTAGTTACCTTTTCTTATGCCTATACCACAAGTAAATCAACATTTACTGCTGAATTTTAAGAAGTCCCTTTTTTGTGATGGGACTATAACATTTCTTTTTCTTTTTCTTTTTTAATATATTTTATTGATTTTGTACAGAGAGGAAGGGAGAGAGATAGAGAGTTAGAAACATCGATGAGTCATCGATCAGCTGCCTCTTGCACACCCCCTACTGGGATATGCCCTCAACCAACGTACATGCCCTTGATCGGAATCGAACCCGGGACCTTTCAGTCCCCAAGCCGATGCTCTACCCATTGAGCCAAACCGGTTTCGGTGGGACTATAACATTTCTAAGTTTTAAAAATGGCTGTTAATATTTTGAATATTTTTTAGAATGTAAGAACAAGATGAAAGAGAGAGGGCAAAAACAATACATCTGCATGCCTAATACAGCTCACTAACCAAAAGTTGAAACAGGTTGTCTAAACTATGGGGAATAGATGTTGGTTCTGTTAAAGGACGTCACCCTTGAGAGTTCCTTTGCTCTGTGCTTAGAAGGTAAACAACAACATATTTACCTTTAATGTGGAAATCCTGAAGACATTCATATTAATTAAATTCCTGGAGCAAGATTTATCACCACTAGTTTTTCCTGTGAGACCAGTTAATGATATCAATATTAAAAATGAATACGACAAAAAACAACAAAATACAATATTTCTCTAATGTCACAGCTATATTTCACATCACACAATAAGCAAAGAGTCATTTCTCTTTTAAAAGTTTCAATTGAAAACCTCTTCAGGGCATTGCATGCCAACTTATTAGTATTTCCATGTACTTATTGTAATGTGTTGTTCTCAAGGCTTTTGTATTTTTAAATACATTTTTATTCTTAAAACATATTTAATCTGAATTTTTCAGTTCCTTTCAGTAGTCAACACAAACACACACACACACACACACACACACACACACACACACCAGCAAAGCATTCAGACCCCTTTCCTAATCTTGCATCACATTTTAATAAGTGGCACTAATCATATTGGAAGGGAAATTAATTGAGAAGTCCTGACTGCCTTTGCCTAGCTACTCAATCTTACACATTATGTTTGCAGTTCATTCTTAGTGAGCAGTCTTTTCACACTGTCTTTACATCCCATGACCCAATATAAACAAGTGTATGAATGATTTGCCAGCACATCACCACTGAAACGTTGTGATTCAAAGCAGCCAAAGTACATCAAAATGACAATATAGTTATTCCCTAATTATCCCACAGCAGCAGAGTAACCAGTGCTTCAATATAAATTTTAATTGATTCCTAATTAATATACTTTCACAGAAAGGGTACAGTCCATAACTTCATTAAATAGTCAGCACACAACAACTATTCATAAGAAAAGTATTAGCATATGCTAATTTACTCCCTAATCTGCAAATGTTTTAGGCTCTGGTCTGCGAAAAGGCTGAATAGTCTTCAATAGGTCATTCTGATATTCTTGAGGGACCAGGATATCTGCCCAGTGATGTTCACTTAGGAGAGGAAATAAAATATTGGCTATTTGATACTTGATATGCTTGAGAGGGCATGGCCTAGTTCTCGGACCGTTTCCCATACAGAGGTGTTAAGAACAAATATGCAAGTCTGTGAATTGAGAGCATATTCACT